GTATACTAATCGGTATGCAATTTAAATCTTTTTTACACTACGTGTTGTATTTTATATAAATACCAACAATTAAAATACACGTGTTTCAATAAACATTTACATTCTTCTTACATTACAATACTTGATCTCGATTCTTATTCTACTTTTTATCTTTTTTATTTTATTAATCCAATTTGAAAGAAGTTTTAGCTAAATAGATATGTATGTAGATGATAATTAAATGTGGAACGGATAATTTATGTTAATTTTTATTTTCAAGTAATGAGAAAGCCAATCCGTAAAACATCTCTATTTAAATTCATGACGGTATTGAGACATGAAGTTTGGCTTAGTATCGTAGGAGCGTTAACTTTAACCGGCATTATGATTTGGATATTAGATAAATATTCACCATACAGTGCAAGAAACAATAAACGACTTTACCCCTATCCTTGTCGGTATGTATTTGATATAATATATTGATTTTTGCTGCGTGTTTTATTATAATATATTATATATTACATGCTAGCGATTACTTTGCATGTGTTGAATATATAATATTTCGTTGTATGTATGTAGACAGAAATTTAATTTTTTATCCAAAAATTTTACCTATCTTGTCTTTTTGGTCGTATTTAACAGACAGACTTTTCAGAGAATTCACGTTAAAAGAGAGCTTTTGGTTCGCACTAACATCTTTCACGCCACAGGGTGGTGGTGAAGCTCCAAAAGCGTTATCAAGCAGAACTCTGGTTGCAGCTTATTGGCTATTTGTTGTACTAATGCTTGCGACTTTCACTGCAAATTTAGCTGCTTTCCTTACTGTGGAAAGAATGCAAGTATGTCTCTTTTATTATTCAACGGAGATTTTGTTTTCTTTTTTTTTTTTTTATTTAATTTGGAGGAATTTATATTATGTTCAGAAAGTATTATTAAAAATATTAATCCTCCTAAAAACATATCATTTCTCCCTTTCTAATATACGTATATTTCGTTACATAGTCGCCTGTACAATCCTTGGAGCAATTGGCAAGGCAATCACGTATAAATTATACCGTTCTAGCGAATTCTAGTGCTCATCAATATTTCAAAAACATGAAGAATGCCGAGGATAAATTATATACGTATGTAAAACAAAGATCATTTCCTTATAAAATACGTTACTAAGATCATCGGCAATGTTATGTATATTTTATATTATTTGTTTGTAGAGTATGGAAAGAAATTACTCTAAATAGCACCAGCGATCAAGTAGAATATCGCGTCTGGGATTATCCAATAAAGGAACAATATGGTCATATTCTACAAGCTATTACTCAAGTGGGACCAGTCAAGTCTACCGAAGATGGTTTTAGAAAGGTACAAAAAAGTAGAAGAGAAAATATATTGAGGAATTATGAAGCGCAATAGTCAATGTTTAGTTGAAATGTATGATATTTTTCAGGTGATAGAAAGTGAAGAGGCCGAATTTGCGTTTATTCATGATTCGTCGGAGATAAAATACGAAGTAACGAAGAACTGCAATTTAACGGAAGTAGGCGAAGTATTTGCCGAACAACCGTATGCTATTGCCGTGCAGCAAGGCAGTCATTTACAAGAAGAAATAAGCAGAAAGTTAATTTTAATTTATTTCTTTTCTCTTTTCCATTATGCTTAATTCACTTGTTTCTCAATTAATATATTATACTTTATCATTAGCATTATATATATAGTAAAGTGTTATATTTGAATGTATGTTCTTTTTTTATTACCGTCTTATTTTTAATTTGTAAGTTTTATATAATTAAGAAATATAGTGACAGATTTTGAAATCACAATTACATACATTAGAAAGTTAAACAGCAAAAAGTTTTTCGTAATTAATAATTATGTTGGAATAGAATGGATTAAGTAATGGAGATGTGCATGAATATCTATGCGACAAATATACTATATAAATAACATTATTTTTAGAATACTGGATTTACAAAAAGACAGGTATTTTGAGATGTTGGCAGCCAAATATTGGAATCAGACATTAAAATCTCAATGTCCAAATTCCGATGACAATGAAGGAATTACGTTAGAGAGTTTGGGTTTGTTGTTATTTCTATACATCACTAAATTTAGATATTATATTATGTAAATATTATATATAAAAAAACTATATGTATACGAACGTAATAGTATACAATGTTCTAATTTGCCAATGAAGTACGTTGACACATTTAAGTATTTGTGTTTTCTAGTTGATTCAAATTTAACATTTAATTAATGTTTCTATAGGAGGTGTATTTATTGCAACTTTGTTTGGATTGGCACTGGCGATGATCACTTTAGCTGGTGAAGTTCTTTACTATCGTAAACGTAACAACTCTCAAAAAGGAAAACAGAAAGACAAAAAGACAATTAAAGATATTGAGAATGATAAGATCATTATGCAAAAAATCGCATCGAAGCTTCGAATGAAACCCGCGCCTACTGACGCAGTTTTTGGCAAACAACTTAATCACACGCCGCGTGTTTCACATATCTCCGTCTATCCACGACATTTCCCTTTTAAGGAGTAAAACACATTTTCAATAATGATCTTTGTATTACGATAATCGAACTCGCAAATCATATTTCTAGTTAATCTCTATGTGTTTTTCAAAGTTTCCACTTTTTCACAATCACTTTTAATATTATACTTAGAATTTATCACAAAAGTCAATATACATAGAGTTAAGGTGCATTAATTACATTATGGTTATAGTGTATTTGTCAAGAGATAATCATTTTCTGACAATATTGTTTCACTATAAGATTATTATTAATAAAGTATCATGCAGAAAATTAGAATTAAATGATTAATTGTATTTGTACGACAAAAGTCTTATTGCTCTTAAAATTATATTTATACAAATTTTTGGGAGACTATTCCACTGCTAACAAATAAATACTATATTTGTTATATATTAAAAAAGTTTAATATCAATTAATTCTATTACTGTTATATTAATTAACTGTTATTATGTTAAATTAATTCATATTAAGTAATAAATAGGGGAAAATCACCGATACCAACATACCACTTTGTTTTTAGACAATATTTCTTAAACTAAGAGTAAAAATACAATTTCGGATATAAGTACAAACTAAAAAGTGTCTTCTATCAGATATAGTACAAGCAGTTTTTATAATACTGTTTACAATTTTACAATAATTAAGTTTACCGTAAGTTAAGCAAAAGTGAGGATTTGACAAAATGGGCTCCACAAAACTGACATAGTAGACAATAATGCCTATATTCCTATTCTATTGAATAAAGATATATTCTATTCTATAAAGAAAACTAATTTTTGAAACTATAAGCATTTAAGAGATGACATAAAATTATCAATAATACAGTTACTATTATTTAAATTACGCAATTTGCAAAAGAATATCGTAAAAATTTTCTTCTCGGATTCGTAAAATTTATTTTTAGTTGATTTGATATAAAAATATGCCACAAATATATAAATTATGAATTTGTATTTCTTTAATTAGCTAAATAGATTACGTTTTTATTAGTATTAATAAGATGCAAAGGTTAATTTCTGAAAAATAAGGGGATGTCACGTTATAGGGGACCTATGTCAATATCGGTGGCTTTCCTCTAATATACGCTCGTTTACTAAAAAGAGATGTACAATACGTTTTTAAAATGTTTATATACTATTACAAAAATATTAATAAATGAATACGCAATGTGTTCTATTTATGTTTTCTTTTTTAGTCTATTAAGAATAGTGTGACAAAATTATTTTTAATTTCAATCTTTTCTATCTAATTTTCATTTTTATTATTTTACGCACACAAAATATTAAAATTAAAATATAATTTACAAAATGTTAAATTAAAATATCTTCTAAAGTTTTCACTTTTTGAATAATTATTGCTTTAGTATTTTTACAGATCGAATAAAGAAAAGGAATTGATTCGAACATGTATAGCTTTATTTAAGATAATGTATAGCTTTATTTAAGATAAGAATATTTATTCTTATTCTCTTTTAATTGAAGAAAATCTGACAGCAGTAACCTTTACATTACATAAAAAGAGATCCAGCAAATATTAAAATAGCAAATACAATTTTATTATTACCTTTAATAGATTTGTTACGAAAAAAGTATGTACAAAATATCTTAGATATGGGATACATTATATATCTTTTTTACAAACGATTGCACTGGAACGGAAATATTTACAATAATACGCCCGGTCATTGATCTTCGAATACTTTCACATTGTATATAGTTTTGCTTCTTAAGCGTAAATAGGGCAAAAACGATAATATTCATTTAGCTAATAATTTGAAACATTTTTATTGATATTATTTTAATATTGTTTTTACATTATTTTACTATTTTGTTTTAAATTTAGAAAAAATACTATTTGAACCTAATATATTTATTGAACAATACTTGTCGCTAATAAACAATAATTTGTAGTTTTATTTCTGTGAATAATTATTAAGTCGATAATAATCATTTTATTTATGCAGAGCTGTAGTTTTCTTGTATTATTAAACATTCTAAATTATCAAAATTTATACTTATATAATATAAATATCTTAAAATGTACGGCTGCGATTTGGAATTTATTATTAGTAAAAATTATGTATTGCACTTTTTCCATTTTCTTTCTTTTTCCATTGATATAATTGTCCTACAATCTCATTATTTTCACTAGTTTTCATCGTAAGTGTTCTCTCTCTTTCTTTCTCTCTCTCACTCTGATCAGTTACGTAAATAAAAGCAAAAGTAGTTTAGGTAATCGGCCGATTGTTTCGATCACTTCGATTGGAGCGCGTCACGGTTCGTGAATTTTTCTAACAAAAGAATAAAGATTTATGCTAGGTAGGGAATATCTGTTATTTACCACGAGTCAATATAAAGGCATTTTACATGAAAATACGATCACTTGATGAGAAAGTGATGTAGATTGTGGTTATCCTATTGGAATTGAAAATACAAACCTGTTCGAGTTTCGTATTAAATAATTGATGATCTTCGAAAATGATTTGCTGCAAGGTCAGTGAAAGAGAAACTTTCAAATAGAATATTAATTTAATACCGCATTTAACTAATTATATTAATATTAATATTTTTTTATTTATATATACGTATAATATTGAATTCAAATTCTATTTTGAATTGATTTTTGATCTTTTTAAAAATATGTTTCTTTAAAAAATGTTTAAGTTTAAAATGAAATAAAAATTAATTAATTAGTTAAGCTGTGTAATTTATTCAAGATAAAGGTAAAATATAAAGAATTATTTTTTGAAGAGTATTCTACTTATATCTATAATATCTAGGTATTTATTTTATTGTTTTGTATTAAACAAAATTAATATTTTTATTGCTGTAGTTATTTAAATAAATAAATAAATATTTTTTTTTATACATTTGCAGATATATTTAACGCTATCAGCTCTAATTACTTGTCATGTAAGTGCAAATTATGAACGTTTGAAAAATTGGAGTCCATCAGAGAGCATATCGCATTCTTGGAATAACCAGTATGACATTTATGAGGGTGCTCCTTCGGAGATTCTGCCTGATTATAGTTTTTATGAACTGAGCAAAGATCAACCTATAGATCGTTTCGGAAGTCCATCTGAACCTTTTCCTATTACTATTAAGAAAGAACCTATTGAAGAAAAATACTTGAAAAAAATTCCATTTTATGTGTTCTCTAATAAAGATTCCACAAGGTACAAGGAATTGACTCCTGACTTGGGAGTTGCGCACTGTCAAGAGATCAAGGTGAAATCGATCGGAAAGGATGGTGAACCCAGGAAAGGCATTACGACTTGTTACAATTGCAAGGATCCAAAAACTAAATCCACGTACGAACGTTGTTTATATAGCAGTCATCCGGAAGAGAGTGTATCCGCTAATACGAAAGTGGAAAGTTATCTATCTGCGCCTACTATCTTCAGATATCGAAGGTAGCGATATTAAAAGTATCCTTCGACACAATAAAAATGTCAATTTATTGAAAGTTTGTTAAAGCTTAATATTTGTACTTTAAAGAAGGGCAATTTTATTAATTTTAATATTCGTACTTATACGGTCGTATAATAATATGCTCTTTTATCCATTATTCAAACTATATTTTTTCAAAAGTAAAAAATGAGACGTACATCATTTAAATGCGAAAAAATGTTTTTTTATTAACCAAAAATGGTTCAAAAATGATAGCCAGATAACTTAGAATTGTTTAAAGAATATTTAAGGAATGTTTTACATAAACAGATTTAAAAGAAAAAAATAATTTTAAACAAAAAATATCAATGTAAGAAATTGTTTACAATCATTTTACTTTATATAATCTGTTTTTTTTCTAAAAAAAAAAATAATATCAAAAAGTTGCACTAACTAAAATATGCAAATCATACAATTTTTTTATTACACATGATGTCATTAATATTATTTATTATCGTAGATCCAATTACGAAGGAAACAAAGATAATTACGGACAACTACGAAATCCTTACCGGTTCACTGATGAGTATTTTACCGATGCTACTCATGGCGTACCAACTGCATACAAAAACAAAGGAGAAAAATGTGATAAGATCGTAAAAGATTCTATGGTGTGCATGGTGTGCAAAGATGCTAAAACCAATGGCAAATACGAGCAGTGCTCGTATGTAAAGCCGCATGAGAAAGCATACTCTTATGTAAAATCTAGCACGTTTGGAAAACCTCAAAAAAGTGAGGAAAACGATAGCGATGAACGTCCCGAGTTAACTTCTTATTCCGAAGTTTCTGATTTTGAAGCGTCTGATCGTCAAAAAGATCGTAGTCCAAGCAGTGTAGAGTCTCATGAATATTCTTATCCTAGCGAGGATTATTCCGAAAAGACTTCAGTGAACGAACAGGATGAAGTGAAGGATGCTCCTTCATCAGATTGCAAACAGGTACAAAAGGATTCCAAGACCTGCACGGTGTGCAAGGATTCTAAGACAGGCGGTACTTATGAGAAATGCACTTACAATTATCAACCCAGCGATAAGTTATATAAATATAGCAGATCGAAAACTTTTGGTTTTCCGGATAAGACCTCGGATTCTACTCGGGACAGTCAGGACTCAAACAAGAGTGAAGCATCGGAAAAATCAAAGAATTTTGATTATTCGCAAGGTTCCGATTCTGCTCCTGATTATATAGGTAAGATTTTATTTTAAGTTATAATTTCTAATTACATATTATATTTAATAAAAAGTAACTTTTTTCTATACAGTTTAAATTTATTGAGCATCTTCTCAAGTTAAAAAAGTAGCTAGCTTATTCTTCAAAAGATTAAACATGATTGATTATTTACTATAAATGTAATCAATCACATTCAATTGCTCGGCTAACTTTGTAAATGCAGCTATTTCTATTCTCTAATAGTATCCCGTATAATTATTTTAAAGTTTAATTCTAATTTCCAAAATTTTTTATTATTTTAATACTAAAAAATTGAGAGTTAAAATTCCAGCAAAAAGTTACTAATTATGTATATATATAATTATTTATATATATAATTATTACAGCTATATGATTACATGCAATATACTAGAACTTTTTTCTTTAAAATTATTTACACTAATTTTACACAGATAAATCGGAACAGTCTACTTATCCACGGAAATCCAACAGAGCCGTAGAAGTTCAACAAGTCCCGAATGATTCCGACGGTACATCTCACAATTCACCCAACTATAGCAGCGATTACTCCAATTCCGAAGCGAGTGACTACCAATTTCCTTCATATAATAGCGATTCTGAATCTTATGATGGCCAAAAGACATCTTCTTCAAAACCTGTTTCGGAGAGTTACTCTGAAAATATCAGCTCTGATAATTGTAAAACTTTACAGAAGGATTCAATGACGTGCAAGATTTGCAAGGATCCGCAAACAGGCAACGATTTCGAACAGTGTTCATACTCGTATCAGCCCAGTGACAAGCTCTTTTCTTACAGTACATCCAGGTCGTTTAGCACTCCACAGAAATCCGAGCGAACACCGCACGAAGACAAGCACCCATCCGACAGTTCTGAAATTACGAAGAAGTCTTACGATGAATACGTTCCAGGACTAAATTACGAAGCTTCATCGACGGATGAAGCAACATCTAGGGATGATGCGGAAGGAAAGAAAGGAGTGGAAGCTGGATATTTGGACACTGTGAAAAAGAAGGCCGAGATCGAGGAATTTATGCAGAAGTTTCAGAAAGAGGACCGATCGAATTGTAAAAAGATTATGCGCGATAAAATGACCTGTTACCAGTGTATCGACGGTGAGGGTTTTCAAAAAGAGGAATGCGCTTTTGTCACCGGACAGGAGCCTGACAAGGATCAGCTTGTATTTCACGAAACGAAAGAATTTCAAGTTGATTCCGCGCCCCGAGTCCGCGACATCAAATCGTCAAGCTCGACTAAAACGAAAGGGGTAGATTCTTTAGAACCAAGCACGTCTGCCAGCAAAAATTCGTACGTTAGAGTGGAGAAGCCGGACAATGATTATCCCGATGAGGCATCGCATACCGCAGAGGAAACTAAGGAAGCTGAACCATATGATTATACATCGGAAACAAGAGCCAAATACGACAAGGTCCTTAGATTAACTCTACCAGCATACATGTCTACCACTTCGGAACATGAAGCAGCGTTTGATGAGATTGTAGCTTCTGATCAGGATCAGCGCTGAATTATATCGAGGTGTTTGTTTCCTGATAAAAATAATTCTCATATTTCATATTTTTTAGTTTAATATTTTAAATTTAAAAGATTTCTGAAAAATATATATCTTAAACTTTTTCATTATAAATATTCTTCGGAAATTGTATAGAATGAAAAAGCTTAAAATATTTCAGAATATATAAAGAATTCTAGAAAAAAATGTAGATACCATATTTTTAGCATTTCTGAAAAATATTTTAATTTGGACAAAAGAATATAAGAACTTTTTTTTAAACTTATAAAATTAATATAAGAATTCTGAAAAATTCTTTTAGATATTTATGTGATTATTTAGATATACATTCTAAAAAATTATATAAAATTTCTAGAAAAAATTTTCATTAAGATTGACACCATTATTCTTCCTTTTATCATATTGTATATCCGGTTATTTTTTTATCTTCAAGTTAGAAACTTATCAGGACACTCTGCTTAAAAATTTTCATTATACTTGAGAATATTAGCATTATATCTTTATTGTTATTTAGTTTATAATATTTAGAGTTTATTTAAGTATCCCAGTGAGAAATAACAATGGAATGGACATCGAATCGATGTCCATTCCATTGTCATTTCTCACTGGGATATACATAACTTCATATTTTTAATTAAATGAATTCTTGTTGATGCAATGTAATCGTTTAGTCTATTATATTATAACTTGCTAAGATATTGCATCTCTCATAAGGTCTCATGAATCTAAATATCGAAATAATTTTTATAGAATGTAATAGAATCCGTAGTAAAATTAGTAGTTGTAAGAACAGACTTGATGATGCTAGCGAAATATTTAAAATTTAATACCTTTGTGTTTGTAATTTTCAATTTCTTGTATGAACCTCCCTTTCTATATATTCCTACTTCTTATTTACATAAAAACATTTAAAGTTTAAAATTATTTTATATAATCCAGAAGTTGTTGTTCATGATTTTGGTATTTTATATTCGGAATAAAAAAATATTTACGAAATTTGTAAGAATCTTGTAAAAAGAAGCCACGAAATAATTTGAATTGGATTTTAACTTCAAATTGGATTAATATTTTTTTAAGAACAGTTTTATACCGTCTATATATACATATTTTTAATATACATCTATAAAATACAATGATCTTTGTGTGAATCAATGCCAAGCGGATTGAGACTCTTTGGTGACTGATGCTATCGCGAATAATAGGAAATACGTTGTACATATCAGGATCTTAAAATAGAATCGAGCTATTTTGGCGAGCAGCGGCGACAGCGAGCGGCGAAAGACGGCCGGCGCGCGGTGACCAGACCAGCGCGAGAGCAACGCAATGCGGCGATCAAATCGGTAAAGATGTAAGACCGTGGAGTCACATCGTCAGCTCTGCGTGCCAGTCTGTAAAGTCACGACGAGGTCTGAAGTCTGAGCACCAAGCGATTCGAAACGACGACGGTCTGTAGTAGCTGCGGGCGCGCGCTAGTGTCGGCATCGGAGCTGCTCGTATCCCTTTTAATATCCGCCTTCTCCTTCGACTTTTAGAATCCCAAAAGTAGTATAGAGAACCGGTTCTCTCTCTTTTTCCCCCTCTCTCTTTCTCGACTAGTGAGTAGCGGCATAAGCCAGCGTGCGGAATCAACATCAGTGAATTACGAAATTATCCTGGATATGAACTCTTCGACAATTGTCGGGTAAGATCATCGTTTCTTCTAAATTACAATCCATTGTCGAGATAAGTGTGACTCTTCCTCTCCCGATCGTTTCGGAAATAAAAAATGTAACCGTAGCGCACTTTATTCAAATAAGAATGAAAAGAGAGGAAGACTGAACACAAATATATACGACTTAAAACTGCCGGTAGTCTTACAGTTAATATTAAGTTCAGGCGTGATATAATCTGGCATCGAGTGGAATTACTCTTGATTTAATACTGATACGTTGGAATTATGATTAAAATTTCGAAATATCTTAAACGTTGTCAGATATTAAAAGATAAAAATTATTTTATGTAATGTTTATGTTTTGTCGACATGCGCATGCAAAACTTGAAAGAAAGACAGACCTCGCGGAAGAAGGATCAGAGATGGAACTCGTTTTTCGATCGTCATTGCAATGGGTCGAGCAGTCGCAAGGCCAAATCGGCCTTGCTGTCGTGGGTCTCAAGGAGAACATATATTTCAAGAGACGAGTGATGTCGTTCGACAAAAAGATTTGACTTAGAGCGCAGCTTTTTCGCAAGTCGGCGCATTTTTACGTCCAATTGGGTGCAATGCCTCTCGCTCACACTTTGGTGAACATTTTAATAAAATGGATGTCTTTTTTGAGTAAAAATATAGAATTGTTAGGTACTTACGATAATATATTCTCTTATATTATTGACAGTAGAATTTTAATTTTTTCACAGGTAATGTATACGTTTTTCACAAACCCAAGTTCTCGACTCTTGATTGAATTTGATAAATCTCTTCATTCAATACGATCGATTGTGAGATGATCGCACATTTATCGCGTATTTGCCGCGGTGTTAGAAATCCTAAAAATAAAATGATTCGAAGTGTTTAATCTGCAAGACTCCACTGCGCAAGTCCATCCGCGCTAAAATTACTCTCGCTCGTGTATCTACCTAAATACATTTCTACTTGCTGTGGCTCATTGGCTGGGTTCCGAGCGTTACGGCGTGGCCGCCATCAGCATGACCGATTTGATTCGCCATGACCGAACTTTTCTGAGAATTTTACTCTAAGCAAATAATAGTTTTCATAATTTGTGATACAGAAGAAAATAAGAAAAATATTTGTGGCTAAACTTTTTTTAGGAGACTTTTACAAATGATAAATTTTTTTTTAATTTTGGGAATTTTTTAAAAATTTATTAGTGGAGGAAATTACTGAGATGCTAAATGAATTTTATATAATGACTAAAATAAAAAATTGAAAATAAACATTTATTCATAATTATTATATTATAAATAAATGTGCTGATAAAAACAATATCGGTATAGCACATTGTGAATAGTTTATTTACGTCAAAGTAACGTAGAAGAAGTTGGCAAATTTTCCACAAGAAACACTATCTTTTTCAACGAAGCGTTCATGAATCTGCTGAAAGTAAGAGTCACGTGCTGTACTGGTCGTGCCAAGATAAAAACGCCTGTGCTCCGGCACAGTATTAGACTTGACTCCAAAATTCTATTATTAAAAATTTTAGCTTCTTCTACTTATTACTAGAGAAGAGCTTTGTTTGATTCTTGAATGAATTATTTGCATATACCTTATACAATAATCACTAATAAAATCAATGCATTCTACATACTATTTGTTCTTGTTTTACTTTATAATATGAATTTTATGTTAGAGACATTTTTAATATTTTATTAATAAATTTACACACACATATATATAATACTACTACGTATATTCTATTACAAAGTATATATATATATTTTTTATTACAATTATTATATCATATTCTTCGTTACAAGAATTTATTACATAGAGGATTAATATGATTCACATGGAAATTGCAATGAGTTCATGGTTTAAAAATAAATCGACGAAATATATAATTTCAAGCTAAAGCGAGTAAATCTATAATTATAAGTATAAGGAAAATGTTCATATTATTTAATTTGTAATCTCTTTCTTACTTTGCGCGTATGTAGAATTTTATAAATATATATATTATTTATAAATATTTTTCTTAATTCCTCGATAGTAGTATTGTCGATGTCATACGACGACCTACATTTACACAACTGCAAGATATTTCCAATCTCACTGTGATTCCAGTGATCAATGTTGTTTTAGCCCTTTTAAGGAAATATCTGACCGTATTATCCTAAAAGACATTTTAATCTTCTTTTATCGGATTATACATAGTTTTTGATCGATGGAAGAAATATAAGTGACTAATTAAATATTTTTTGCATTCCCAATTTAATTATTACGATAGTTTCCATCTGTGTGCTTTGAGAGAACATTATATGGATTAATGATTATTTAAAGTAGATCAGAGATTGTATTTATGAACACATTCAAGTTTATTTAATCGTTACAATTATTACAATTTGTATATTTATTTAACGTTAATAAAAATGTTAAACTGTAAATTAAATGTATATATGAAATGTAAATGTACGTACGTGCGCAAAGCATGAATACACACAGATGAGTCATCTTTGAAGTAGTTGCATTCCAGTGATAAGATAGCAATGTCTCATGCAAATGAAGAAGACTGAATTAATTATATTCTACTCAAATGTATATGTTTTCGAGAAAACAATATATCAAAATGATTTCTTAATTAAAATGATTTCTATTTTATCATAAATATGTCAAAATGCTGTATAGTATAAGAAATAGGTTTTAGCCTGAATGAACTGATCAATGCGTTTAAATTATAGCAAAATTACAGTTTGCGTTAGCAAAATATATTTCTAACTGAAAGAAAATATATTAAAATTAAAATAATTTATAAACACATCACAGGTTTTTCATGTATATATACATACATATATGATACAGGGTGAGACATTTAAAACAGGTGAATAACTCGTGGTGAATAACACCTGAATAACTCGCTTGTTTTTAATAATAGAAGGGAAAGTATCAAACAAAAGTTGCTTAATTTCGAAGGGCACATAATGTGATATCAATAATCGTTTTGTAGGTGGAGGCATAAAGAATAGACAAAGGTAAAAACTGTTTTTTTAAACGGAATGATGTTTTTTTATTTACTTATCTATAGGTGACCTATTTTAAATGCCTCACTCAGTACAATTAATAAAGACATTGATTTTGTGGAGAAGCTATTTTATGAAACATTTGACTTTTCTATTTATCCAAAACTGTTAAAGTGACCTCCATTATATATATTTAGCTAAGAAATAGATTATTTAATAATCAAATTTATCCAATTGTTTGATTTCTGTTTGCAGAAATCCGGGTGTCATGGTTGCAGGTATGTACATATACCACACTTCTTTCTATGGCAAAAAGAGATAGATATAAATTTAAAAAAAAATATCGCATTATATTGAGTCTTAAGAATAATGAATAAGGATTAAAATTCAAAAGAATTTATTAATTCGTAATAATTAGTAAATTACATTTTAATAAATTTATTACAATAGAGAGTGTAAATTAGATGTTAATTATATCACTTTTTATAGATATATCATATTGTATTACTCATAATTTATATGATTTCAGGGCCACCTCCACCGCCACCTCCTCTACCTCCTGTGTCTGGTCACTTGCCAGCTATGAGGATAAATACTACCGAGGTAAGATGAACTAAATCATAAGATATAAACTATAATCGTAATAATAACTTATCTGACATTTTTTATCGCGATATTTAGACCGCCACAGCAAAGAGGCCGCAAGTAGTTAGCAACGATGTTTATGAACCACCAGCAGCCATCCAGAATGCCATGCTAACGAAGGATAAGAAACCCTTTACCTATACCCCGGGTATGGGCGGCAAATTAGATCTTTCGCAGATTCGTAGTCCACGAATGGCGAGAAGAGTAGCGAAAAATGCTAATGATGAGGGCATAGAGGGACCACCAAAATCCGCTATCGAGTCAAAGCAATCGCCTGCAGTTCCTGTCGCAACGAATCTCTTGGTGCCTCAAGTCGCGGTTCCTGTTTTTCCTTCCAACGTGCCACCCCAGCCACCCCTTAGGATGTCACAATCACCTTCAGTCAATAGAACATTGTCGAACGGTAATTATTTATTTATTTATATTTTGTTCTATCATGTTTACTGAAAATTATATACCGTATTATTGTAATAATCTATTCCGGATGTCAATCTATCTAAAAAATCTTAAAATAAATATGTTACGGTCACGATCAGCTTTAAGTTGTAAAAATAATCGGTGATATTTATTTGGAGAAATTATAATATTTATTTTTTTTATAGCTGTAGACAAACAAGCTGAACCAGTAAGAAATATAACAAAGGTGGATACTAAAATACCGATCACAGTCACGTCAAGTCAGTCGAGTACTCCTGAAAGTCCGAGTACTCCAACTCTGGTTACTTTAGCCAAGGCTCCTACACCTTGGATGCAGAATAAAAATAAGCCTCAGGAAGAATTGCCTGAATGGGCTAAACGCACGAATGTGAATAAAACGGTTGGCAGCGACTCATCAGAGAACTCAGTTTCTCCGATTTATGTTCAGGTCCAGCAAGCGTCTCCACAATGTTCACAAGCGAAACAAAAGCAAGAACAAAAACAATATTCGGTTCCGCAGAATCAACAAACGAAACCGCAACAAATACCTCAACAGCCGCAGCAGCAACAGCAGCAGAGGCAGAATATCAATTCTGTAACGTCACAACAAACGAATTCGCAATCGCATCACGAACACGTTGTACCTATCCGAGTAAGTTGATAAATTAATTTTTTACTATTTCCAAAAACATATCGCTTTTATTTTTTGAATATTTTAACATCATCTTATTTGTCATTACAAAGATCAGTGCTATTTTTTTTAGTTCGCTGCAAATTATCTTATTTAATTTTTAATTATAATAATTTTTACTATTGTGACTATTGGGAATTTTTATTTATGAACATATTACTTCTTTTTCTTTTATTATTAACAAGGATTAATTATGCTTACGACACCAACATTGACTGAAACTTGCATTGAATTGAGAATATTTTTTGATTTAATGAAGAATGTATACAATATATTTAAATTTAATTTATAATACTTCATATTTTATGTAACATTGAAAATGATCCGATCGGAGTCGAAACGTTTGCTTTTGATATGTTTATATGATTGTTTGAATTAAATTATTCGTTAATTTACTTGTCTCATTGCCCTCTTTACATTTATACTATTTTATATATATTGAGCCTTATAATTACTTTTATTTTAACATTCTTTAGATGGAAGATAGACCATCAGTATTTGACGCGAAGCGTGAATCTGGTCATCATCAATTTACCAAACAGCCTCCAACTGTACATCATCAGCAACGATGGGGTCAAGGGCCTGCACAACATACATTTGAGAATCAAGCACAAAATCATCCGCAAAATCAAAAACAGCCACAGATTCATGTCACATCTCGGCCAGAACAATCGGCTGGAACGACTTATATTATTCCCCTTGTAGTGGAAGGTAGCGAGAAGAGAAATATGCCACCAACTACGGAAAATAATGTTAAGATTGGAAAACCAGCAAGAATGTAAGATTAAATTAAAGTAAATCAAATTCAAGTGATTAAATTTATATAAATTAATATGTATTACGTTGAATCAACATTTTTTAATTAATAAATAATAGTTATGATTTGTATCTTGACAATTAATAAATCAACTTTAGTAACATACAACTAATCATATATTAAAGTTCGTAAAAGTTGTAAAAAATAATTTTAAATAGATTGTGCATCGAAAAATTTTTAACAAATTTGTTAGTTATTTATAAGGTTTGCAATTTTATTTTGATTATTAATTATAAATAAAATTTTTGAGACAGTGTAGTACAACAGCGAAGTCCCGATCTTAATCAGCAATGCGAACCTGGTCCGATTCAGTCGCGATCATTTCGTGTCCTTCAAAAAATAACGGACACAGACGAATTAAACGATGTTGGTACAGAACAAATACGTAAAATGGAATTGAGTGAAGATGAAAAACTACTCATGAATAAATTTAAAGAACAAGGTAGAATAATATGATTTATGTGTCTACTATTTCAATTTTTTGTTATAATAATTTATAATATACATAGAAATCTTTTTTTCAAATACATATATTCATAACATTTATATTAATTATTATCAATACAATGTAATGTAAATTATTTTTAATATGATTTTTAAAGACTAATTGATTTAATTTTTTAAATTAAACTATCACTTGAAAACTTAAATGGTAAATATTATATTTTCATATTGTATTTTATAGTCGACCAAGAGATTTATCTTCATCAAGAGAAAGATCCAAGATATCGTGGTGCAGCAATACCTTCACGAGCTTTTCGTTTTTTACAAAATATGACAGATTCGAATGATGCTTCAGTAACTTGCGCTGGTAAGATTGTTTTATATTTTTATTTAAAAACTCTTTTATTAATGTTAAATTTTATCAAAAGTATAACAATATATATTGTATCTTTTCAAATCAATTAAATCTTTCTAATATCCAAATAACGAGGATTAGATATTGCAAATAAACATATGGAAATTCTTATTTTATGTTTTATATTACAGTGCCACAAAACGTTGTAAATAAGCGGCAAAACAGAAATTCTAAGTCGTTTGGTAAGTATGTGTAAATGTAAAAATAATCTTTTTTTTTTAGTTTTATTAAAATAACTGAAATATAATAAATTTGGATTGTGATAATTTTTATACAGAAGAGACACAGGCAAATTTGCCACCTAGTGAACAACAAGTACAAGAACCGAAGAAATACACGGGTAGTGCAATTCCTTCTCGATCCTTCAAAATATTACAGGCAATGACATCATCAGAAAATAATGGTAAATATACTCGATTAAAATATTTTTACGGAATTTATCTTGTTGACAGGACATTTTTTAAAATATTACGAATATGTCAAACAGTTTTTCCATATATTTTTACGTGCAAGAAAGTTAAAGTTTCAATTTTTGGAAAGTATTTTACGTTATTTCATAATCTTCTTACGTGATACTTAACATAAATATACAAATTAATAATTTATTTTGACATACATATTCCTTGTTCATAAATTAATTGTAGAAGCTTATTTATATGTGTACATTAATATATCGTAATAAGTGCTTTATATTCTAATGACTACTTTATTGACATAACATACGTCACAACGCTCAAATTTCCCAATCCTGTGTTCACAGGAATAATAAAATTTTCTTGGCTATATACTGATATTTATATACATATATTTACACAACATACTCGCACGCACGTACGCACTCAAGCACGGCACGCACGCACGCACTCACGCACATACAAAAGAGAGACAAAAACAAAAAGTGTTACACAGACTAACTATTATTGTAAGAATTACTATACATAAAAAATATATGATAAGTACGGTGATTTTTTTGAAGATCTTTTAAATGTTGATTTTTTTAAAAGCTTTTGAAAGAAATCGAGAGAGAGAAAGTAATATAGCAATTTCAAATAATAGACATCCTAGATAGATATAAAAAGGGTAAATTTAACTTTAGAAATGTTTTGCCACATTACAATAATGAAGAAGACTAAGATTAAAATTGTAAAAAATATTTTTTAATAGGTGTAAAATTTGATTTACTTAGCTTAATAGCAATTTATTGGCAATACATTGATTAAACGTGATTGGGGATGTATTAGGCTAATATTGAATTAATATTGCCCATAAATTATGCTATTAGGGATACAGGCATTGTATGCGATGTAGTACAATGGCTTTTTCATTGCAAATTCTTTTATAGATAGTTTTATTTATCTTTTTACCGCCTGCGTATAGCAAGAGGAATTCGTATAAAGTCTTAGTATATTGTCTGACATTTTAAACATAGACTATAATAACTATGTAGCAATAATAGTGGTGGTAAATAATTTAACTCAACTTTTGTTCTATAAAAAATAAAAGATATTTATTGAAATACATCAGATAACTTAATAATAATTATTAAATTATTAAGGTAAATGTTTTCTAAATAATGCCATATATTTTGTATAATGTTATGCCATTTATTATTACAAAGATATGTAAAAGGAAACTACTTCTTACATGTAACAGTTATTAGTTACGATCTACTTGACATATACAGTGTTTTGTTAAAGATATTAAAATAAAACTTCATTTATCTTCGAACATTTATCCTTTCTCGCAAGAACAATTATACAATAATTAAATGTTAAAATTTATTACTTTAATTTACTATGACATTTAACTGGATTGTAAGATATGTGTTATATGATATTTAATGTTTTTTCCTATGAACACAGGATGTGTAAGTTTTCTCATTTTCTCAGCCGAATAATTTCGCTTTATTCCGTATTAATATACCAACTTTACCGAAATAAAATCAACTAGGCATAATGGTATAAGGAAAAAGGGAAAGCGAAATAAAATTGGAAGTGCGGACAAACTTAGACATACTTTCGATCTAGGCAATTATCTATTTCTAAACTCGTTTGGTAGATCATGCAGTACATAATGCGACGTGTAATTAAGAGAAGAAAATTTCAGGCAGAAAAATAACGACGACACGCACGGCTCTGTCTTACTTGTAAAGAATTTAACTTTTTTTTTGAATGGATTGTGCTGTTTGTTGTAGCCACACAAGAAAATCGTCAAGCAGATTACACCTGTCGAACAGAGAATAACTTGCCGGGCAATCAGCAAGATGCATTCTTCTCTCCTCGACCCGTTTCCTTCTGGTCGCATTCCGAAGGTTGGTGGGGCTATTATCCTGTGCAATATAATGCTCCATCCAGTAAGTCCGCGAACGAAGCGGACGAGCGTTCCTTTCCTTACCTACGATATCCAGACGAAAATGCGTGCGTTGGATATGAATTTTTTTATCCGGTTTCTAATGAAAACTTTACGGGCGTGGCACGAGTAAACGACCAAGAAAATTCTTCAGGCCAATACGGTTACGTTGCTGTAATTTGCCCTCAAGCGGGTTACAACGATGTCCAATCGCACGTTGATGAAAATAACTCTAACTATGTTCATAATCGCTATGCGTGTGTCCATTCGTCTCCTGCTCAAGACGACAGCTATTTTGTGCAAGATGATTCGATCAATGAATCAAGAAACACCTTACCCAACGATTTGGGAGTCAATCACTTGAACTTACAATCGACTGGGACACATAATCCCAAAAATGTCTACGAGAATTACAACAGTGACAAAAATGGTATTAAGACGGCAATGAACATAGTTGATGAGGAAGACGATACATCGGATGGCCCTAACAAAACTATGATGCCTAATAATATCGAAAAATCGAAAAAAACATTTGGTCTGCATATCAATGTGCCTAATTATACATACATAGACACTAGTGATTCTAGTGATTCTAGCGATTCCAATGATTCTAGTGACTCCAGCGATTCTGTCTCTGATAACGAGCATTTTTCGGATTCCTGTCAGAAATATTGTAACGATACTACTTCCAATAATACACTATCCAATAGTGATTCGGATTCATACGAAGGTTACTCAATAGGTTTAAATCCTTACGAGAAATTGAAGAAAAATCTACGTAATGTTTCCTCGAGTGAAAATTGCACCGACCTCACTACTTATTCGGAATGCTCGAATGTCGATAATTCATGTAGACATTCGCAAAGCAATTCCGAAAGTAGTGCTCACGGTGACAGGGTACTTTTTAAGAAAAACGATTATTCGAACGACCAAAATTCTTGCACAACGTCAAAACAAGATTTTACATCAAAGTCGAATGGGTATAATGAAAAGGGTTACATGAATAATCAAAGTAATCTCGACGCTTCTAGTCTAGAAGAGTCTAGTAAGATGAATTCTGAAAGTAATCGCGTATCGAATACGGAGCAGAGTGATCAACAGGGTGTGATAACTGACAACGTCGTTCCACATCAGTTGAGCATAATCTACGAGGATGTGGAACGGTTGAGTTCTGAGAGTCTTTATTGCGGCAGTAAAAAGAAGATCGATGAACAGAATGAAGCTTCTTTCGAGATGACCGATGATCCGTCTGACGACACCGAAGCTACGATGGTCAGCGTGAGTTTGCCTCTAAAATTCAAATTTTCCGTGTCTGAGGATAATGAGGACATCACCACTGTGACGGTGGGCAACAGTAAAATAAAGGCAGAGAGATCTTGTGGCGGACGTTCCGCTAAAAATGACACGGATAACGATGTTTGCGCCAATTTCCACGTTGGCAACGATACCAGCGTGAATTTTACTGTGACGAGACACGTGTCAGACGCAACAGGCGCAGCAACGAGCACGAAAAATAACACGAGTATCGCGGTACCACATGTAGATTTCACTTTCAAGAAAGATTCAACGAACGTTAGCGGAAATAACTTCAAAGAACAGAACACGGAGGCGGAATTCCCAGTTACAAAAACAGAATATAACGGAATTAACGTCGTGGAATCAGCGTCGAAGAATGTCGATGATTGTACCGCTTCTAAATCGGAAATGGCTATGGGAATCATCGAGGACGGACCAGTAAACGATAAAAATTGTAGCCAAGCAGAATCTGCCTGTAACAATTTCGAATCCATTGATGTCGATAGGAAGACCACTGATTGTGAGTCGAAACTTGGGTCCTGGATGCAAAATTTCGAAACGCATCAAACTGTCGATACAGAAGATCGAACAAATCAGAAGGATTGTTGCGTAATTGTCGATGACGATCGATGTGTGAACTCTGACAGACAGGAACTCTGTCAGACAGACATGAAATATTTGTTGAGTGTCGGAGATTCTCGTGAGAATACTGACGACGAGGACAGTGGAGTTACTTCTGATACAAGTCGAATGATATCTGAGATAGATACAGAGTGTCGTGAGATCGACACAGATTCGGAGTGTACGAGGAAGCAAAAGAAGTATCAACGAACGCAAACGCACTCGCGACTCTTTCGGCTTCTGAACGACGATTCCATTTTATCTGACAGTACCACAACAGATCCCTGCAGAAAGGAATACCTCAGTTTGCCGCTTAAGACGAACGCGTTCAACTATGACGACAGTTATTGCTCCAACTATTCCAGTGGTTTAACGTCTCCCGAATATTCGCCTATTCACGAGCAATCTTGTCGAAAATTTCACGACACAGCGATGAATGGAAATACCATGAATTTATCGGACGGGAAGGTCCACCAGCCGGCGCACCAGCCGGAGATTCCTTCAAAGGATAATTCGTATTTTCTGACGTGGAAGAGCACGAAATTACCTAGCCCACAGGAGCACGATGTTATGCCTTCTCTGGCTTTCAAGATCCTCAACAGTAAGACGCCCTTTTGGACCTACAAGGTGAACGTACTGTGCCCGAGAATCAAAAGTACGAAAAGCGTGCCGCAAGCCCTGCTGGCACAGCAAATTGACCAGAACTAACGATATTCGTTGGTGACTCCTCCTATCCCGATGTCCTTATGCGAATACTAAACCAACTATAATTGCTGATGGCCCTAAGGCAGAATGAGGCCGGTGTGTTTGCCGCTGCGAGCAACCGTTCTCCACGATCCACGGACATATTTTTTTCTCGATTCTCTTCACAAGACAGGGCTGAGCATGCCCAAGGTGCTCTACGGGCTACGTGATTTTTTTTTCTATCGGTACATATCGTTTCCATATATTCGTGTATCATTCTTGATTTCTTCTCCAGATTTCCCACTTTCCTTTCTTTCGTTTTTGTCATTTATTATACAGTTGAACCTTTATATTTGTATCATGTCGCGATCGATCATCCTATTTTTAACACTTCTTTTTAAACCTATTCTCACTTCGATAATATATGTGTAGAATAAAAATAGTTATTGACATATAATATAATATGCATATCTTTCGTTCTTTACTTGTGATTTTTTTATTTTACATATGATCACATGTTTTATATAAAAAATGTAAAGTTATAGGCGCAAAAGGGAAAAGAGAGAAAAAAAATATAAAAAGTGTTAAGAATATGGAGATTATTTTGTTTTTTTTTTTTTTACTTCTTATTGCTAACTCGATTCTAGACGCATGTAATTTTTTCCTTTATTATTTTTCTCTTGTTTTCTCTTTCTGTATCTCTCTCATCTGTTTTTGTATTTCGCAGAAAGTTATAGATTATCAACGCTTGATTGCTTTATGCATGTTGTAACTAATATTGATAAAGAAACACAAATAAATTTATTTATGAGTCTAAACTATTCGAGAAACGCGAATAAACAATGTGACGGAAGAAATTATTCGACAGTTTGACGTATATCAAACACAATAACTTTTGCAGTTGCCTAATATTAAATTTTATGTAAATGTAAAAAGTAAAGAAATTATAAGAGAAAAAAGTGGCAAACGATAAGTTGTGATATAACCCAATTATATATGTATATATGTATATATTGTGTGTATACATATATGCATATATATGCACACACATACACATATATATGTACACCTCGTTTACATACACACATACATATATGAGCATACAAACGCACGCGCGCGCGCACACACACACACACACACACACACACACACACACACACATAATTCTTAAATTCTAAAATTTTATTTAAACAAACTGTACATGATTTATACATAATATGTATATACTTTTGTAATTTTGTTTTTTTTATTTGCATATTACAGTATAAAGATTGCTCTTAAAAAATATAATTTCTTATTTTTCAGGTCCTGATGCAACTGATTACTGAGAAATGGTTGGTGAAATTCTGCTTAGACAATGTCGAATTGTTTAGTGCGCTTTTTTTTATTTTGTTTACAATAATCCATAGTATACTTATGTCGCCATTTGATGATCCATCGATAAAAATCAAAGGATTTCTTCAAAATGGGCTACAAGTCGCTAATATAAACTGTTTCAATATCGAATTAACTGAAATTTTGCGTCATATAATTCTTTTTGACAATATGTGAAAATATAATAAATTCTTTTTATAATAAATTTTGTTTTTAACTATTATTATTATATGTATATCTACTAAATACATATTTGCATTCTAATATTTTTCAAATATTTATTTTAACGGAATATTGAATTTGTTTAAAAAATTTTTTAATTAATTATAATGAGCATTAATTTTCAAAATTTCTTAAACAATTTCCTAAGAAAAAAAAAGTTAAACGGTCCTATAGTAGATTAGTTACGTTGACATGTCGCAATTATATGTATATGTTATATTATGTGAGCACGTGGTTGGTTTATTTAAGATGAATGAATCATTACAAGAAATTGTAATAACGCTCTTTATAAAAATATTAATCATAATTTTTGAAAATATATGTGTAAATGTATACATATGTATACATATATTGTTAATCTTGTTACCTGAATCTATCACTGTATTACTCATCCAAGTTGTAAAATAAATTATTTATAATATTGATAATGCTAATAAATATCTTTTTATGTTTATTTTGAGAACGTATAATGTGGCCAGTTTCATATACAAACATACGTATTATACAATAATAATATATTATTAATTAAATATTAAATTTAAAAGTTGCGCTTTATTGTAAACAAGTTTCAGTTTATATAATGTGAGTTAAATTGAAAATATAATATGTATAATAATGTAAACAGATATAATTCAGAGTGTGATGTATGTTCGTTTACGATGCATAATATATGCTATAATCCCCCAAAGAATTACTACCCAAATTGATTCTATTAAACATAAAGCACGACTGTCCATGGCACCAATCCTCCAATGGAATGGAAAGATTTCATAACACACGCTATGACCCACATATAACAGCAGTGCATTCATACCTGAATTAAAATATTTAGATTACATATTATAAGATTATAAAAATGCTAAAAACACGTTTGTATTGTTTCTTTATAATTGTAACTCTAAATACTATATTTAATTTTTGCTACAAAATTGAAAACTATAGTTTCGTAATCGAATAAAGAAATAAATACGATTTATTTTAACTAATATAGAAAAAATTTTTGCCTAATTTATCTAATGTATTTAGATCTCAATTTTATACTTTTATGCTTTATCTAATGTTTTTAAATATTTATTTCATAGTTTCATGCTTTTCGGATTATTTTTAATTGCGTATTGATATTTAACGGCAAAATTTTAAAATAAATTAAACAAAACATATTTTGACTCACCGGGAATTCTGAAAGGACCACCTCGCCAAACTTGGGCAACGTCGATCAGCAAATAACAACCAGAAAGGAAAGCCAGAGAAAAAGAAGTAGTAACGAATACAAATGACAAAGACCTGCATAATTATATCGATTCACAGAGGAATTAACATTACGTGATCATTTTTATAATCTATTTGTAGTAATAAGTTAAAGTAGAACGAAATTTTATTATTATATAGAACGGATTTTAATACTTTACCACAAATTTTTATTAACGGGTATGATGTTAGTGAAATGAAAGACGCAACCCAGACAACCATAAACTGCTGCCCACAAAAGCCATCTTATAACACGATCTTTCCAGTCTTTATATAACATCAGAATTGTACCAGTATGTACACCTAGCAATACCTGAAATATCGTTGTGAGGCATCCTGGAAGAAATATACAAAGAATAAAAAGTTACTTTTAAAAGTGACTAGTTACTCGCGTTATTGTAATGATCAAAATAGTAAATGTTACCGTAGTTACTGATTCTCAAAAGTATTTAACATGTTATCGTTAATTAAACAGTAACAATTTTGCAAATACTCTTCCATTTTACTTTTTAAATGTTACGATAAGAGCAGTCTAAAAAATTTTGCTATATCTTTTGTTTAAATATTTTTAAAAGCAATAAACAGTAATGGTATTAGACCGATATATGAAATTAACATAATTGTAATTAACAATAACATTAATTTTTTTATAAACATAGGTATATTTTTTTTTACAAGTTTAAGTACCATAAGATTATGAAAATATATTATAAATATAAAAAATGTTTCAAAATTGGAATTCTTTTCATGAATTATTTAAATAATTAAAAAATTTTTAACCTGATAAGATACAAAACTACAACAAATTATGATCTTCTTTGACACTCGTTACAAAAAAGATTGATATTTTGTATTGGCTAAACTTATTATTAAAAGAATATATTTTTAGTGATTTCAGAAAACACTCTATTATGTGTTTTATTAAATACATAATACATATTTTAATAATTATGTTTATAACTGTAATAATAAGCAACAAAGTTACCTAAAATTCCTTCGGGATCAAACGGACCGGATCCATAAACAGATTTAACAGTTGGATATTGATAAATATGGTTTAAGGTCAGTATAGTTTTATCAATATATCCAGCTGCACCTCCGGTGCAGTTAAAATATTCACCATCTTCATGCCTTCCGCCTGGTCCAAGATATCCGCTACAGCATACATAAGATCACTGTTCACTTACATAACAAATAATATAGTATTAAAAAAATAGAGTTGGAAAATGAAATTTTCCAACTCTAATTTTTTAATGTACATATTACTATCTAATTTTTTAATAAGGTACATACATGGGACATCCAGGTACAGGAAGACCAAACGTTAAAGCGCAATGTACAATTACTAAAATCAGCATTACAAACCAATGTGGCAAAAGGCTTAGTATGTCTTGCATTTTGCGCATTGTCGAAGTCGGCGATGGGTTCTATATATAAATACAAGAAGAATTCATGTTACTAGCTATAATAATTAGCATATTATACATTATAATTTCTATGAGTTAAGAATTGTATTGTATATATTATATCTATTACTGTTATTATTGATGAAGATATAAAAAAATACCTGTAAAACTATAGAAACTATGTTATTTCGAAGAAAAACAAGAAAAAAATTTCTATTACTACAACTTTTCATAGATAATTATTTTACATGTAGTTTTGGTCCGATACCTCACGTTCAAAAAATATACAACTAGGAGAGAAAAATATTGCAACTTTCAAAGAATATATAACGTATTTATATAATATAATATATATATCTATATTATGGGGGCTTTGCAAAAATGTTTAATATTTTTATACCCTAAGAATTTTTGATTGTTGGGGTGGAAAGCAGAGATACACTAGGCCAACGACTAGATAAGTAACTCCGAATCGTTGAAGAACTCCAAATATTCGTATATTTTCCACTTGCGCATCTGTTCCCAATGTATTCAGTGAAACGCCTATTAGAAATAGAAGCAAGCTTCTCTGCGATAAAAAGCAATTATATATTAACAGATTTTGCGTAGAAAATATTATTAAGATTATGTGATGAAAAATATATTTGGTACTTTTTTTTACATTTTCAATGCCTTCTTTTAAGTGGTTTAATAATATGTTCTAAACATGTATAAATTACATTACATTATTTTTTTTAACAACTATTACCTTTAAAATGGAATAACTAATTTGTAGCTTAGAAACTCCACGTTTTAACTGAGACGATAAAGCTATAGGAATGCAAACGCCCATGATCCATATAAAACAAGGAAATACTATATCTCCTAGAAACATGCCGTCCCAAATAGTGTGTTCCAATACGGTATAGGTACCAGAGCCATCATTGACAAAAATCATGAAAAGAGTACTAGCCCTGCATCGTATAAGCAATTGTGTTAATATATTGTATAAAATTCTTGGTTATATTGGTCCCGTTTGTATTTCGATCAACTTGTATAGGTATTGTAAAAATAAAGGTAAATTTTGAGAAAAAAAGACTAGCTAAAACTTTGCATACATACTTTATAATTTTTCATTTATTACTCATTCTATCGAAATTATTTCTTATATCTAAATTTTTAAATACTATGTAATAAATTAATATTGAAAACAACATATTGTCATTTAGTATTATTAAAATACAGCCATTACTTTTTAATTTATCTAATAATATCTATAATAATATATTTATACCCTCTGAACGTATCGATTGCTTTTACGCGACGTTTCATTAGTTCTTTATTATTTGATTCATCCTTGACCTTTTTAAACGTATGCCATAAAGATCTTCCAACAGATATACTACATAAGATAAATACAATTACTCCCAAAGTAATGAAGAGCTCTGTAAAAATATAATTTAAAAAATATTTTGCAATATATAAAATTATACAGATTTTTTGTGCACGTGCGCGTGTATTTATTAAAATTTAGACTTTTTTTTATTAATCAATTAAATAAAAACATGTCTCGAATAGCGACAATTGTTTTGTCAATTAATAAATAATTAATAAAATTAACTGTTATTTTGTAAAGAACATAGCAATATAAGACAAGTAAAAAATATACAGTTGTCTATCATATATAATAAATATCATATATATATATAAGATTTTTTCTAAATTATCTTTTATGTTTCAAAATTTATATTTGAAAAGCGACATATATAACATAACAACATTAATATTAAAGTAATAAAATAGCATATCATTATTTTTTTTATTCTTCTATTTTTTTTAATTAGTACAAAAATGTTAGGTACCTCCAAAGTTTAGAATTATAATATCGCTTAATTGGTTCTTTTTAATTGATTATTATAATTCTATATTCAATAATTATCTTTTTATAATGTTATTGATATCAGATAATATAATCTTCATTCCAGTTATCAACATACAGATTAAACAAACAAATAAAATGATAACTAACGTAAGATACGCGTTTTATCAATTGATATCTCATATACGTATCAAATTGTATAATTCTTAACATCATATGACATTTCTATAATCATCTCAAGATATTTAACAAGACATACGAATAATTAGATATATACCTGTGTATGGATATGTTGGATTCTTTATAGTTCTAAAATTACAAGTATTGTTTTGTACCGCCAATTCGTATAAACCATATTGCCCTAAATGCGGCGTTAATTCGCAAACAATATTGCTAAAAGATAAGATTT